AGTGTATTAAGTGTATTAAACGTTACATTATATCAAAGTCTCCCAAACTGAGGGGGTTCGTGAGTTTACTAACAATGTCAACAATGTCAAATTAAAATAAATCATTTTAAAATAACATCAATCAAAATATAACGCATACTAAATACATTAAATATTCTGTTTGTTTACCTGTATGTCATGTGACCATTAACCAATACCAGAGAACCGTGAACATGCAAATGTGATGCTAATTATTAACTTATTACCTTAAAATCTCAGGGGTCTTCAAATAACATCCAGTCAGTCTTCAGTGTCACACAATCCTTCAGAAATCATTCCAATATGTTGATTCATTATCAGTGCTGTTCTTTTTAGCTTTCTATTCATCAAAGAATCCTGAACAAAATGTCACCGGTTCCAAAAAATATTAAGCAGCGAAACGGTTTCCAACACTGGTAATAAATCAGTATATTAGAATGATTTCTGAAGGACCATATGACTCTGAAAACTGGAGTAACGGCTGATGAAAATTCTGATTTGCATCACTGAATTAAATAATATTTGAAAGTATATTAATTATGCATTATATATGTATATAACCCTTGACACGGAGAAAAACTCCTCACATGACCGCTACCGAACATAACCAAACAAATGCACATTGACGGATCATCTTCCGTAAACAAATGTATATTTCTGCAAGCGTAAATATTGTGAAAATATCAATATTAATTGTGTCTAGGCAAAGGCATTCCTCCTGGAACAGAGCTGTTCATTTCATACTTCATTATGTAAATTACACATTGTATTTAATGTATAAGGTACATGTACGATGTTCTTAAACTTTCTGTTACAACTCTGAGTGAGAACCGCTTCAGACGACTCTGAACTGAACGAATCATTCAAACTGATTCGTGAACCGATTCACTGGTTTGATCAAGCCTTTGAACAGAACTGACTCAAAAGAATGAATCATTGGCGAATGGGCATCGCTCATTGCCCAGAGAAAAGTAGACGCGCGTTTGGAATAAATTGAAGCATTTTTAACTTGTATTGCATAAAGATAAAGTAACGAGAGGAGCGTCGCCCACAGTAACGAAGTAAAATACCGTTTTTTCACTAAAAATGTACTTGAGTAAGAGTAAAAGTACCCATCTTTAAATATACTCTAAAAGTATTAGTTACCCAAGAAATGTACTCAAGTAAATGTAACTCGTTACTACCCACCTCTGAGTGGATGTGATCTTGAAATGCTGAGAAAACACTTGTTAAACCGTTATTACCCAGTCACTCACGCGCTCAATGCTGGTTAAAGGCTGGGACACTATGGAAACTTATTTCTGCCACGGAATAAAAAAAAAAAAATTGGTAATTGCGACTTTTTATCTCAAAATTCTGATGTGGTGATCAAAACATGACACGAATGAAAACACTCTTGTGTTTGAGCTGCTGCTTCAGCTCTGATCTCTCTGGATGTTCATCAGGTGCATCATGGGATGCTTTTCAGACCGGTTCACACCAAAAATAATACTGCAGTGATGACTACATCCGCATCAACTGTAACATCATATATATATATTAGGGGTGTGCGATATTGACAAAAAACATCTCTATATCTCTATAAATATCTCTATATTTTCTGGGATTTTATCGATAACGGTAATTAGATGATATTGTGCTGAGTGTGTTATTGTGCTGGTATCTTAAAGACTGCCGTGGACAGCTGACTCCTGAAGTTTTTACTGATGTTTTCAGTGTTTCTTTTTCTGGACACAGCTCTATTCACACGCTGTGTGGGTATCGGCTTTTGGTATCGGGCATATTTTACTGAGTACAGGAGCGCAGTATCGGTTGGCGTCATCGCTAAGTTACCGAACATCTGAACATAACGAACCAAATGCACATTGACGGATCTTCTTTCATCTGTTCTGCAAAATGTAAACAAATGTATATTTCTGCAAGCGTAAATATTGTGAAAATATCAATATTAATTGTGTCTAGGCAAAGGCATTCCTCCTGGAACAGAGCTGTTCATTTCATACTTCATTATGTAAATTACACATTGTATTTAATGTATTAAGGTACATGTACGATGTTCTTAAACTTTCTGTTACAACTCTGAGTGAGAACCGCTTCAGACGACTCTGAACTGAACGAATCATTCAAACTGATTCGTGAACCGATTCACTGGTTTGATCAAGCCTTTGAACAGAACTGACTCAAAAGAATGAATCATTGGCGAATGGGCATCGCTCATTGCCCAGAGAAAAGTAGACGCGCGTTTGGAATAAATTGAAGCATTTTTAACTTGTATTGCATAAAGATAAAGTAACGAGAGGAGCGTCGCCCACAGTAACGAAGTAAAATACCGTTTTTTCACTAAAAATGTACTTGAGTAAGAGTAAAAGTACCCATCTTTAAATATACTCTAAAAGTATTAGTTACCCAAGAAATGTACTCAAGTAAATGTAACTCGTTACTACCCACCTCTGAGTGGATGTGATCTTGAAATGCTGAGAAAACACTTGTTAAACCGTTATTACCCAGTCACTCACGCGCTCAATGCTGGTTAAAGGCTGGGACACTATGGAAACTTATTTCTGCCACGGAATAAAAAAAAAAAAATTGGTAATTGCGACTTTTTATCTCAAAATTCTGATGTGGTGATCAAAACATGACACGAATGAAAACACTCTTGTGTTTGAGCTGCTGCTTCAGCTCTGATCTCTCTGGATGTTCATCAGGTGCATCATGGGATGCTTTTCAGACCGGTTCACACCAAAAATAATACTGCAGTGATGACTACATCCGCATCAACTGTAACATCATATATATATATTAGGGGTGTGCGATATTGACAAAAAACATCTCTATATCTCTATAAATATCTCTATATTTTCTGGGATTTTATCGATAACGGTAATTAGATGATATTGTGCTGAGTGTGTTATTGTGCTGGTATCTTAAAGACTGCCGTGGACAGCTGACTCCTGAAGTTTTTACTGATTTTTACATTTTATGGGCATTTTACCTTTATAAAGCCATTTTTTCTAAAAGTGTGCATCATCTTTTGAGTCAAATTCTTACATTTAATCAGTGAATTAGAATAATAAGACATTTGGGCTGTTAGCAAACAAATGAAATCAGTATCAACAAAACTAATCTCTGTAATGCAGAGGAAACACAGAAGCTGCATCTGAAGAGGTGTTTAGATGTGTTTACACACTGTTTAATGCAGGACATGAATGCATTTATATTATGCATTATGCATATATATGTTCACACCAGCAGATAAAAACATTTATTTATAGAGCTGCAGTTTTGTTGCCTGTCACTTTAAATGCTGGAGGTCTTTAAAGCAGGATGGATTCTGATTGGCTGTCAATGTTTATATCCCTCATGTGCTGATTGATTATTGTTGTGTGTGTGTGTGTGTGTGTTCGTGCAGCAGCAGACTCATGCCGCCTCCGTGTGCTCCGGCGCCAGTCGACGGTTCGAGAGCTCAGAAAGCAGACGAGAAGACGCCGGCGCCGAGCCTTCTGGGTAAGACAGCCGCTCACGCAGCTCGCTCATAATCACTCACGCTGATGCTCTCTGCATGCAGATGTGAGGCTGCAGCGGCGGAGGACTGTACGCTAGCTACAGGTAAAGCTGAAGCGTCTCACTTCCTCAGGAAATGACACGCTTCAGCTTCTCCGCCCCTCATTGGTCAGATGTGTTGAGTGAAGCTCCTCCCCTGAGCGGTGATGTCATCAGCCGTGTGGCTGCCGCACTAACGGCCGTCTCTCTTGTGTTTTGTGTTCTCTCTCTTTCTCTGTGTTTTTTCCCTCTCTTTCATGTCTCCGGATCCTGCGGGGGTGGGGCCTGGATCCTCGACGCCACCTCCTGATTGGACGCCCCCCCGATGACGTGTGGCTGTCGTCCAATCCCGCGTTTGATTAACTGTGCTGCTGTGGCGTGTTGTTTGTCTGTGTGTTTCTGGTCTCTCTCGTCAGAGCCGCAGGTGAAGCGCGCGCGGATGGGGCTCGTGGCGTACGCTGGAGACTCCTCCGACGAAGAAGAGGATCATGGAGCCTTCAGAGCGGCCGGAGCCACAGGATGGACATACCGCTGCCCGTCATCACCGCCCACACGGCCCAAAACACAGACGCAGACACAGCCCATGCCCTTCTGGATGGCACCGTAAACACACACACACACACACACACATCATGTTCATGCCTCCTAAAGACTGTCCTGTGGGATTATGGGAGGATGGAAGAGCGATGGCGGCTCATGTGGCGCTGCAGGATCGCGTGTCTCATCACTCTGCTTTAGTTTCTCTTCATCAGTTTGATTTGTAATGTTACTTCTTCTGAGACGAATAAACACATGCATTGGCTCACACACTGTTTAATCTCCTCCACACGTCCCTTAATAGTAGGGTTGGGAATCGAAAATCAATTCCAGTTCCAGAATCGGATACTTAAGGTCAGGAATCGGATACTTGTTGTAAAATTTTAATTTCAATTCCGGCTATCAATACATGTGTGCACATATCTTTATTAGGTGGTGAAAATGGGCTGGTAAAAATGTATTCGTCTTGATTCATTCATTCAAGAGATTCATTTAAAAGCACTGATTCATCCAGGAATGAAACGAGTACATCTTGAGTGAGTCATTGAATCATTCCATTCATAACTTCCATGAGATTTTGTTTAGTTGTCTAAAGTTTTTTCTTCAGAATTGTGAGAGAACTCCATTAAAAACCTCCATTAAAAAAAAAAGTCTCAATTTATCCAGAAGCGTGCGGCTCAAACAGCTCTTAATCGAGTCCAGTTTTTATGCAGCCGGCTGATTTTTGTTCATGGTATTCAGCAGCAATTAAATGTTTTGCAAAAAGAGACACAGAATAAATATGTTTGATATCTAAATGTCTGACTTTTTTTTTTTACCACATTGGAATCTAATGTTATGATCATAATCATATGTGTAAGCCAGGTTAAGGAGATGATTATGATTAATAATATATAGTTTATGATTAATAACTAATCATAGAGGTGTAATAATTGCAGAGTTGCTTTCCTGCAGAGTTGAGCTCCAACCCTGATCAAACTCACCTACCTGTGATTTTCTAACGATCCTGAAGACATTGATTAGCATGCTCAGGTGTGCTTGATTAGCGTTCGAGCTAAATCTCGCGAGCCAGATTTGAGATCCCTGCTCTAGGTGAATAGTGAGCTCACATCACAGTGATAACGATAACGACATAGAGGAACGATTTCACTGGAATCACTTTCAGAGCGATTTTTCCAGCTGATGAGTGATAAAAACATTGACAGCCAATCACAATCCACCCTGCTTTAAAGAGCATTTAAAGCAACAGATGACAAAATTGTAGCGCAAATACAATCAAAACGTGTTCATTAGTTATCATTATGGTTATTGTTATTAGGGGCCAAGCACTGAAGTTGCATAGGCATCTATTGTGTGTTCTTGTTCTTCAGTTCTGGGAGTCAGGCAGCCCATAGAACCATGTGGTAAAAAGTTGTGAAATTTGGCACACAGATAGAGCACAGTCTCAACACTAGCCATAGCAAATTTGGAGTCTCTAACTCAAACCCTCTAGCGCCACCAACAGCTCAAAGTTGCACATATGTTTATTCTAATAACTTTTAAACCGTCATTTTAGAAGCTTACTTTTCCTCTTGATTCCTTGATTCATGCCGAGTTGCATGGAGACCAAAATGTAAAATTCTACAGGTCAAGATTTTTCACAGTTTTGAATTATTGGAAAAACCTACTAATTCAAATTCAACGGCCTGTCTGATCTTCGCCAAAATTGGCTCAGATCATCTTCAGGCCATACTGGCAAAAAGTTATGGAATTCAATTTCAAACCATTCTCGAATAATGTGTAAATGAATTTCACGAAGAGCACGCCAAAATGAACGTGAGGCTACGTCTCCACAATGCGTGTTGTAAGAACCATGATCTGAGGCTACCTGCAGTTTCGGTGCAGCGCCACCTAGTGGTCAGGAGATATGAAAAACGATTTTTCTGTCAAAAAACTGTCAAATACAAACAAGTTTATGTTAAAAATATGCGTAAGTTACAAAAACACAGTTGGTTATGTCTGGGAAAGAAATGGCGTGTTTATATTAGATCTGTGTATTAAGTAACAGCAGCGTAATACACAGAACCCATACTGCTGTCTATGCTGTTAACATGAACCAGACAATAAAATAAAAGCAGAAAATCACACTGCTCTGGACTGAATAACGTCTATAGCTGTAGTAAGAAGACATTTCTTACTTGAATGCTGCTTTTAAATGCTCTAGCGTGAAGATAATCATGGCGGATTGTGTGCGGCTCACTCAGGGCGGGGCTTGTCAATGGTGGTGGGCGGGGCTTGTGAAGTGTGACCTCACATTTGACAGATTCTGTGATCGGCTTGTTCTGAGACACTGCTTATGATTTATGGGGATTTAAAAAAGCAGCGGGTGGATTTTTAGCATTATAGGGTGGTTGTGTACAACACATTTATGTTCAAACAACATGTAAAAGTGGATTTTGCATAATAGGTGTCCTCTAAATCATATTAGTAATTATTTAATTAATGATTTGGAGTCCAAGAGTGAATTTCGAGGGGGACGGCAATTCACTTCCAGCTGGTTAGGCTTTTTTGGAAAGTAAAGTGATTTCTATATTTTATCCATTCAAAAGACTATGACTACCATCCCAGTTCTGCACATAAGCGTAGCGGGATATTTTTGTCGGTTAGCTGCCCAATGTCGTCTTTTGTCATAAGCAGACTGCAGCCAGCATAAATGCTTCTCTCACAGCGCAGATCGTGAAAGCAGACTGCAGTTTGTCATTCATTATAACAAACGAAGTATAGAGACGATGTAAATAATAGATTCAGTGTGCAGTGTAGACCGCTTCATTAATTGAAATGAAAGTTCGTGAGATTGCGATGAATTTGATACATTTTTGATTTTATACAAAAGTTAATATTAAGTGACTTGCATTTTAGGAACACTGTTGTCTGATTTTGCTCTATTTCGTCAACGAAAATAGTTCCAAAACAAAGCCACAACTGAGCCGCTGCGCATCTCCAAGCAAACACAGCGCTGTTTCGTTTATGAATGAATCTGCACTTTGAACAAATCAAGTGAGTCAATGATTCAATGACCCATTCATAAAGAGAGTCACTTGCTTCGTGAATCAGCTGTTTGAACAAATCGAATGAATGAATGAATCCGTGACAGTGACTTGTGTGTTCCTAATGCTCCTGAAAAGAAATGTAAGCGTAGATTCTTTAAGAATGTTACCTTTTAAAAACAAAAAAAATTATATGTGTGTGTACTGTGTACATTTATTATGTAAATATAAATACACACACATACAGTATATATGTAGAAAATGTATTATATATAATATATACAGTTACAAACCAAAATTTTATTCAGACACCTTCAACATTTCTCACATAATAAACATGATCATCAGAACCAAAACAGATGTTTTTTAGCAGGTCCGAGCTGTAATGGCGAAGCTCTATTCTGGAAAAGGGGGCGGGGAGCAGCAGCTCATTTGCATTTAAAGAGACAGACACGAAAACAGCGTGTTCTGCATCCACTCAAAATAGGCATTTTCAAAATGATATAATAAATGATCTGTGGAGTATTTTGAGCTGAAACTTCACAGACACATTCTGGGGACACCAGAGACTTATATTACATATTATAAAAAGGGGCATAATATGTCTCCTTTAAGAACACAATTGGATAAAACCAATTTAGCTCAACCAATTACCAAGCAGTGCTTAATTTAGTTCAGTCTGTGGTGTAAAAAGATCACATTAGCAATTAAGGAAAATACACTTAAGAAACACATGCTCGGGTCAAAGTGTCTGAATCATTTTTGATCCCAAATTTTACTGGTAGTCCACTGTATGAAGAATTGTTGGGTATAATATGTTACAGTTTACTTTATTTTGCTATCCTCGCTTACATAAATCAACTATAGTGTCCTGCACCCACTAGTAAAAAATATCAACAATTATATCTGCTCTCTGAATGATTTTTAGTTTGACTAAAAGAAGAAATATGTTTAAAAACTTGGCATACATATGCGAAAAATAATATTATATAGTGTGAAGTTCTTCTTTCTTGATATACTGTTAAACATGACCCTGGCAAGTTGTTGTCAGGTTTCGGCTGATGGTGGAGTTGATTAGCCTAATTAATAAGACTCGCGTGGTCTGCAGGGGTTCGGATGTAGATTTGAGCGCTTTTTGTGAGTGTCTGTGTCTCTGTTGTTTTCTTATTGAACATATTCATGATCTTCCGCAGTGAAGAGCG